TGCTCCTCGTAGTAAGGCCAGGAGCCCCTAGTAGCGTCCTTGCTCCTAGTTCCCTGGTTGATGGATCAGTTGGACGGAGCCGTCAGGCCGCAGGTCCGGCGGCTTTTTCGGCAGGGCTTTAATGTTGGAATTCAGATCCCGGTGTTGGAAGGTAGAGATGAGCCAACTTTGGCCGATGTTTCAAACAGGTCCTCATGCATTGAGCCTACAACGTATCCTCGTATTTTGTTTTACTGAGAAGTCTGGATTGCCCTGATGCATTACCTTGTTTGTCTCAGGCCGCCGGACAGGCTCATTGAGATGCGGGAGGACAGGAGGTGTTCAGTCCAGTCGAGACACATGAGAGAAACGAGGTCTTACTACGGCCGCCGAACGCTGAGGAGAGGCCTAAGTGGAAACATTGCCTGAGTAAACCAGATATAATATGTGTGACTGCACACTGCAGACCTGCATCAACCTAAACGGCCTCAACGTTAGAGCCGATAGAGTGGGATGTAAAAACGAGCACCACAATCAAGCAGGTACACATCCGTTGCCAGTGGATGCTTCCCTTTGTGATGCATAGCTTCATTGGGCAGAGTAGCGTCAGAGAGTTCTGTCGTCCTGCGAAGTCTGATAGAACCCAAAGATACCCATGACTCCAGGGCGGACACACACACACACACCAACCTTAAAAGCTCAAACACGCTCAAACTCACTAAGAAGTATTTGCAGGCACCTTGCTGGTAAGATGCTCATTTTTCGTTTTGGAGGAACAGGCCCAACGCCTGGAGCGGCTTCTTCGGAAGGTCCGCCCCGGCAAGGGCCCCGATGCCCCGTTGATCCGCGCAGCCGAACTCCGGCTGAAGAGGCGAGTGTCGCAGCGTCGACGTCGAGAAGTGAGCTCGCCGACGATGTTTTGGAGACTTCGAGACGAGACTTGATGTTTTGTTTGGTTTCGATTGGTGCGCTTTGAGACTTGGAGAAACCTTCAGAAGCTAAAGAAGCAACGATGGATCTAGGGATTGGATGTCGTGCACACTCACAATTCCAGCTGTGAAACCGCGAAGAGAAAAACTTGCTAGGCTCCAGGAGCCGCTGCCTGTGCAGGTGCCAACCAAGCGAAGCAGTGCTGGTTAACCCGTTAGTTTGTTCGCTCCATCACCCCAAATCGAACGAAAAACACTAGAAATCCTTTACTCTTTTCATTCCTCTTGACAGAGGAATGCCTCCAGTCCTTCATCTCTCCCACCTCGTGTTCTCAGCCCACGCGGTGATGTTTTGTTCATTAAGGAGCAGCTGGAGCCAGAGGTCAAACTTGAGGCAAGAGAGCACTTTCTCGAAACTCTCTTACAGTGCAATCTCCTGTAGGCAGGTCACAGTGATAATTTAGGATGGGTGCCAAACCCGTTCTTTTTTTAAAACTGATATGGTGGGTGAAAAGCCCGGGACCTTGGTTGACCCTGGAGAATGAACAAGATGGACTACCAGGAAGAGGGAGTGGTGCCGCCCATTGCAGAGGACTGTCGAGGTATGCGGTATGCTGGTGTTGGAGAGTTTTTGATAGCGATTGAGCTGTGGTGCAATCTTGTTGGTACTCTAGGTAGGAAGCGTTCTTGTTACTACTAGTAAGGCACTTGTTACTACTAGCGATGCACTTGTTTCTACTAGAAAGGGAGTTAGATGGAGTTAGAGTCGACTTTCGTGTTCGTCTCAAGGACCCGGAACTTGATGAGATTCCCGAGGCACAATTCACGATTCTGTCGCCAATGCCGCTTTTTTCACGACCCGTCCAGGCCGTCCAGGTCCCCAAAGGGGTCGCTGAAGAATGAGAGAAGCTGAGAAGAAGCTGAGAACGATTGAAATCTTCAAAAATGAGCAGCTGTTCATCCTGTCCCACTTGAGAAGATGGGAACCAGATTGAGCTTCCCAGGTGCCCATTGTGAAGCATCAGGTGTGATTCCAAAAAAACATGTAGATGGAGCAAGTTTCTGCAGTTTAAGCCATGTCCAGACAGATTCGGATCTATCAGAGGCCGTTTGTGCCAAACATGAGGGAAGGCAATCTGGAAAACTGCAGGGTGTGCGGCCTCCATAGTCACTGAAACTAGCAGCGTGGCGTCACTTGCCGTTGCAGATTGACGCAGAGAGGAAAATAGGCAGATCGATCAGATCTTCATGGTGAACCTTCGGTACAAAGAAGTCCGAATGGGGGGTAGGTCATAGTAGGCAAGTAATAACTAAGTCGCTTGAGCAATTACTCGGTTAAGACGCACTCCCGGCGGGAGCTTGCTTGAAGAACCCCTCATGATTGATTTGGTTTCTGTTGGATATGATTTTCAAGAGACACTCAAGTAACTTAAGTTCTTTCATTTGCGGCTTAGCTCTTTCAAGCTGTGGTGCCAGGTGGACTCCACTGATCCCCCAGCGCGACCTTCCAAGACTAAACAGCCAGATCATATGGCTGACATTGAATGACCGCCAAAAAAGGTGCGATGTGTCGAGAGAATGCTCGATTCCGTAAGATTTTGAACTGTTGGAGTTTCTACTTGGCTTTGCGTGCACCGTCAACAAAAGGATTCCACACTTGGATGGCAAGTGTGGCGGATTTGTGTCAGCACTGCATTTCTCCAGCCAAGCGTTACCGGTTGCTGAACCAAAAGCTGATCCCTCTAGATGTTGATATGGGAAGAACTGGCCGAAGATGCCACCACAGGTTGCCGACACCTGGTTCCCAAGCCCGCTTGTGTTTCCAAGCCCCCTTGTGTTTGACATGGGCAACGAATGCAACGTTGAACAAAAAGTGTAAAAGCACAGATAATTTTGAAGCCAAGGAGGTCGAAGTTGAATCTGCCGATGGCCGTGAAATCCGATCCACCTCCGAAGCCATGGCTGTCGACCTTACGTCATGCCGGAGGCTTGGAAGGCGATCTACGAGGAGAGGTCTGAACCAATCTGTTTACAGCCAACTCCTTACTTTGTTTCTTTCCTTGATACTACACCTATTTGAGGCAACTTCTCACTTCATCTCTGTGAATTTGTCAAGGACAGCGACTCCGATAGCCCGCGAGCACCCGGGCGATCGGAGCGAACGGCACCCACAAGGGTCTCGGCGACCACCGCGGCACCAGAAGCACCATCCGTGGCACCGGCCGTGGCGACGCCTGCTGCGCCTGCCCTTGCAGTGTTGCGGCAGAGGGCAGAGGCAGGTGTTCTGGATATGTCATCGTTTCAATGGGAACGAAAAAAAAGAAAGGGCATCGCTACTAGGAGCAAGGACGCTACTAGGGGCTCCTGGCCATACTACTAGGAACAAGAAGCTACTAGTAACACAGGGCATCGCTACTAGATCGCTATTGGGTTGGAGGCCATTAAAGTCTCTTGACTTTTTGTCAGGCCCGGCGAAGCCCGCAGACATCACGGACCAAGTGCAACAGGTGTTTTGGGGGCACGAGGATTGCACCATGATTCAGTTGATCCGAAGTGCCACGAAACAAAAGACACAAGGAGAATTAGATGGACAATTAAATTAGGCAGTTGAATTAGACAATTAGAGCTTTCTCGATCACTTCAGTCTCAACTGTTCACCAGGTCGGGGCGGGGTGCTTTGGGCCTGCTGGAGCCCGACAGCAGCCTGATAAGAAAAGTACAAATCGAATCTAAATCGGTTTTGTGGCCTTTAGCGTTAGCTTTTTGGCCGAACTCAGGCAGCGATTCAGATGGACTTGAGGCGGGAAGATGGTAGAGGTCCCAACAAAAGGTCGACTCGGACCCGTCGGACCGAGCGACAGGCAGGAGGAGTGGAGTTGGAGCGACAGTGTAGACCTGAGATCCGTTAAACGAAGGGGCACACCCGACACACTTGGATCACTCACGTGGAACGTCGTTTAATCCCAAGCATATTTAGCAAAACTTCCAAGCTTCCATGTACAACAAGCAAGAAGGAAAACGGCACTGGGGCGACTTGGGCATGGTCCTGTCTCGGGACAGATGTGTTCTCCGATGAGAGCAGTTTTGGTGGTTTTCAACAGCCCAAAATGGTCTGACACAGAGTCTTGGTAGAGTCGTAGAGTCTAGTCTTGGTTGGAGTAGAGATGGAAGTTTTGACAGTTTTGGAGATTTCGAGCAGGATTGAATCTAGGGAAAGGTCAGAAGAGAGGAGTACAGGTTTCCACAAGAGAGATGTTGTGTTGTCTTAATTCTTGCTGGAGCCATCGCCATCCATATGACAAATCACCACACACCGCACCCCGCTTCGAATTGTACCTGGTATTTTGTAGTTTGGACCTTCGGATACCTTCGGTCTGGATCAACGAGGTGTCCAAAACGCCCTGCGGAGCAGCCCGAGCCAGTTGGACCTTCTACCACCAAGAGGCTTGCTGTGGAAGTGCCAGTGCAGGCGGGAAGTGACGACGGAAGGACCACAAGGCCACAATGCGGTTCTAGCATGTTGTAGCTGCTAGCTGTTTTCATTTTGCGACCTCTAGAGACTCTAGACATCTCTAGACGCTTAATGACCATGTTTTTGGATTTTAGACAAGTGTCGCTCGTTTGCAACGGAACTGACACTAAAGGCCGAGACTCGGGCGACGGGAAACGGGTGGCCGTGACCGTGAGGTAAAACATCGGTGAGAGACGGTGATGTAACCAATAATTAGCTAAGTATTAGCTAGTGAAGCTACTAGGCATCAGGACGCACTCGCGGCTTCCTTGACCCTTGCATGATTGATTTAGGCTACTAGGTGCTAGAGGTTCATTGGAGGTTTCCCAAGAAGGGTTTCCAGAAGTTTTGGTGGGAGAACGAGGGGTCAAAAAGCATAAACAAGTTGCCAGGTGGAGAAGCAGTCGGGGCTGCTAATGCAGGAACGCCCATCAATGGCTCAGGAGGCAGGATGAGGACATCCATTGCAAAATCTGCGAGAAGAGTGACAACTGATTGGAGAAGATCAACAACCTCAAATGCAAAACGCATATCTATCGGAGATTATCGGAGTAAACTGGAAGAAGTTCAAACTTGTGCAGTCAGGAGTCAGGACTTAAGTTGAATGGTCGGGCATGTTCTTGCAAACTGCAGGCTGCTCCAGTCCCGGTTCCTGCCATCCCGGTCCCTGTGGTGCCTGCGGTGCCGGCGGTGCCGCCTGCGGTGCCGCCCGTGCCGGAAGAGGTCAAGGTGCTCGAAAGGCTCGAGGCGATCGAGGCGAGCAAGGCCGTCGAGGTCGAAGCAAACCGAGGCGGGGAAGATAAGAGATGCAACGGAAAGGGTCCACCGTCCCATCCAGACACCATACGACCTCATGTTTTCCTTCCTGCTTTGACATCTATTTATCTAAGCTATTTCGATTCCCTTTTCGTTGAACATTCTGTCATCCATTTTTTTCAGTTGCCGAGACGGTCTACTCAATTTGCTCTATGCATTTTTATGTTCCACAGTCCACTTTGGTTTAGTCGATGTACTAAACTTCAGTAGCCTAAAAGGCTTTTGTATGCTTTTGTGTGTTCCTTGTTTCCCTTGCTACAATTCAAGCGATCGAGTTTTTAGTGGACAATCTCTGTTGCTGACTTCACACGCTTCAGGAAAGAAGTCGCTGAAGTCCTTTTTGGGCCGCAGACCCGGCACCCGGCGGGTCACATCACCTCAGCGAAAAACGCATCTCCGAGGTCCGGACGAAGGATTGGCTGCAAAGTGGTCTGAAGGTGACATGTCGAGACTGCGCCTTGTGCGTTGAGCCTTTCTTTCTTTCTTTCTGCTTCATGCTTTTTCCTAGTAGCGAACATTGCTCCTGGTAGTAGTAAGGCCAGGAGCCCCTAGTAGCGTCCCTTGCTCCTAGTAGCGATACCCTTTGCTCCTAGTCGCGTCCTTTGCTCCTAGTAAGTGCTGTGCAATCGAAAGGTGCACTTCAGCTTCCTGGGGTCGAACTTCCAGAGCCAATTGCCGTTTGGATCGCATCAAGATGTGCCTAAAGAATTCGTCGCATTCGACAGCATTGCAGCATATATTTCCTAATATTCATCTATAGTCAAAAGTAGAAGGTAACACATGCTGAAGTCCGATTGATCTCACAGCTAGCCTTCAAGGCCAGTTGTCTTCGTGGCTACCAAAGAGAGGCTGTTATGAAGCTCCAGATAAAGATAACTGAATTTTGACATGCGATGATTGCACATACACGAAGTTACAATATGCGAATCTATTGGACTCTCATCCAAGTTGTTTCTTGGGGCATTTTCTGTATCTGAAGGGACCTTCTGCGCATTGAACGCAGTTGGCAGGGTGTGCGCTGGCTCTACCAGCGGCTCTTTATGGAGGCAGTGACAGATGATCCAACGAATGAGGGAGGTCAATTGAGGTCGCGATGAGGTCACCACTAGTCAGTTTCAATCTTGATCTTTGGAATCCTTGGCCGCCTAGGAGCCTAGCTTTGTTGGCTCAGTTTCTGCTGCTTCCACTTCCGTGATTTGCCTTGTGTCTCACTCCACTCAGTCAGACTTCATACGCAGACTCGTGGCTGCCTCCTTACAGATGAGATGGGCCTTGGGAAGACGGTGTTTGGCTCTGAGTGTTTCCGTGTTTCCGCCAGTTTTTGAACGGAGTTTGATCATGTTTTATTCAATTGTTGATTAGGCAAGTTGCCTGCTGCCTTGCTGCCGGCCTTTTTGCGGTCGGGGCCCCCAAGACACTGGGGTGAAAAAGGGACACTGTTCAGAATCCGCAGGCTGGATCTGACGTCGGTGCCGTTCTGGTGGTGTTTGACCCTCAGAGTTTGAGCTTACAAAGGGCCATCCATGGCCACAGACACAATTCCCAAGAAACCTTTCACCACCCGATAGCTTGGGGAAGGTGTACAAATGAAAGTTTCAGGACATTTTGACATATTAGAACTATTCTTGCAGGTGTCCTCCAACGTTGGTGCGGAATTGGGCGCGCGAACTCACTCGTTGGGGCCCCTTTGCAGTCGAGGCGCGGGAGAAAACCTTTTGGTGCTCCGCTCCGTACCACATTCTGCCGGGTTCTGCCAGGTCCTGACACCTCATGGGGCCAACCGGCAGCGTGTGTTTCAGCGACGCTGGGTTTGCACCCAGAGATCTGTTGAGCACTGACCCTTTCAGCTTTCAAGTTTGTGTGTTGAGGATAAACAACAGCTTGAAGCTGACAGATTTTGACATGCCAGCCAAATGAGGAACGGAAATTGTTGGCAAACAAGTAATTAGTTGAACATAGTTGAACTAAATGCTTGTTTGCTTGACATTCCTCATGAAGCTCAGGTGTTGAGGCTGGCTTGACGGATGTGCGGAGCTTGGACACTTTGACGTCGAATCGAGTTGGGTTTGAACCAGCATCGACCAAGGTGGTGGTGGCCAGCCGTGGCTTGCTTATCAGGCCTGTGTCTCAAAGACAAAACATGAAGAAATCGATGGGCGAACAGCGAGCACACCAAAATCGTTTGGAATATCGTGGGGATTTGCAGGGTAGGCATGTCTTTGAGACGTCCTCCCTATATCGAAAAGAGCCTCGTTCTAGCTTGCCCTAGTCAACAGCGGTTGTGGGCTTTTTTTCCACCACTCTGGGAAGAACGGACGGATGGCAAAAGGAAGAACAACTTGCTGGGTAAGCTCATGGTGCTGTGCCCTCCCCCAAAGACCTCACCCCTTTTCAAAAGTTCATAATTAGCCAGCCAAGCCAACACGTTTTGTAGTTATTTATCAATGTCTTTGCAAAACCTATGCGTATGACATGTTGTGTGCTTGTGGGAGAGGTGCACCTCCAGCTTTCTTTCGCAGTCCTAAGCCGTTGTGAAGATAGACTGGGTCACAGCATAAGCGTGACTGACAGACATGAGAAGTTCTGCCCAAGACGTGAATCTGCGCTTCCAATGTGCTGTGCAGTCACACGTACAACATAGACTTAATCCTGCCTTGGTTCCTTGCTGGAGCCTTTCATGGAAAGTGCAGCGAACCTGCTGACCGACTGCCATCGAGCAATATGCAAAACCCGGAACAACGTTCCCACAGTTTTGAGGTCGGAAGGCCCATGTGCAGCAGAGGCACTTCTGTCCCTGAGGCGCCCCAAAGTCCGCAGACACGGCAGACACGGTTTGTTGGTCGTTTGGTTTCAGATGCATCATGCTAGATCACAAAATTGGTCTTCGTCCCGTCAGGTGGGGATGCGTTGTGGTTGATGAAGTGCACCAAGCGAAGAACCCCAAGGGTCAGCTGCACAAGGCAGATGATACCACAGAAGCACCAGATGCAATGGACGGCTTGATTAGCTAAGCAAACCCTGAGTGAAACGAAGAAGAAGAAGAAGAAGAAGCTGAGCAGACAGCGAGCCTTCGTCGTGTCACGTTCAAGGCCATCGTGTCACTACACAGCCCCCGAAAGCTGGGCCTCACAGGCGAAGTGCCGAAAGTCACTACACAAGCTTTGGTTTCGTTTCGCCTTGTGTTCTTTCGTTTCGCCTTTTCGTTCTTTCGCTTCGATGCTTCGCTTTCGCTCGTGTGAGGCACACCACTGCAGAATTCGTTGACAGATGCCAGACGCCCAGTGGATCTACGGTGACCGACCGTCGAGTGTCGAGCGGACAGGTTTGGACGCTCTTGCGGACTGTGGAAGCCCATGAGGGCTGGGCACAGGGCTCAGAGCGGTGCACTGACGTGCGACCGTGGTTCGCGGTTCCGGACAACCGCTGTTTTGTGAAGTTTTGTTGGAGCTAGATTTGTTGGAGTTTTTAAGCAGTGCGGTGTGGTCCGGGAATTGCGAAGGGAAGCAGGAAGCAGGAAGCATAATGTTGATCCAACAATGTACCCAATGGACAGCGCAGGCAAAAAGGCATTAAATATGGCGAAGAGGTTTCTTTCACCAGGGCAAGTTGAGCCCAAGAAAAGAGTGCACCAAAGAACTTACGTGAGCGTTGAGTCACCAAGCCTACTATACAAACAGTTCACACAAAGTTGCACTGCACAATGCAGGTTGTTTCAATATGTGTTCTTGCTTTATTGTTGTCTTCGTTTTCGTGTTTCTCTCATGTTTCTTCGTTTAAACATGTTTGTGGACTCGAGCAACTCACACCGAGGAGCTCGGAGCCTTCGAGAGTCGATTCAGTCGGCCCATCTTGAAGTCGGAGAACTCAGCCCGAACTTGGCAAAGCCGCAAAAAGAAGTTTGGCAGTTGAAACAAAAACAGTTTGCTGGTAAAAGAGCTGTGCGCAGAAGGCAGATACTGTCTTTTTTCGCCTCTCTGTGCAGGGGTCAGAAGCGAAAAGCCTCAGCAAAAGATCTGGCTGTGCGGGAGGATGCTTTGAAGGAGTTCCAGGAGCTTTTGGCGAGGAACTGCCTCCGAAGGAGACCGAAGACGCATTGTGTCAATACATTCAAGACGCATTGGACCACAGAGTGAAAAGAATGCCTGCCCTAATTGACTCCATTTACTGGGAGACACCGGGGCTGAACATGCACAGCCATTCATGTGCTCTCAAGCCCAAGTTTTGGTGTGTGAATGGGCAGATGTGGGCAGCTTTGTAGGACAAAAGATGACGTTGCATTGATGTTGCCAGGGAAGAATGATCGCGCCACTTGGGCTGCGAAGAATTGATGGGACACATGGGTGACCCATGTGCGCAGCAATGCGCAGCACATTCAGACACCCCAGAAAAGCAACTGAAAGAAACAGGGAATACTGTATCAGTGATATCAGACGATATTGGGATATCATAGGCAATCCTTTTGTCGTCGCTTCATGGCCTCCAACCTAATAGCGATGGCCTCCACCTAGTAGCGTCCTTGTTACTAGGTGCACACGTTGCTCTTTGCATCTCTTTGCTCACGCGGCAAATGTGTCGCTTCTTCACCCGGACGAGGTTGTGCCCTGTCCTTTGAGTCATTTGCAGCGAGCGGCCTACCAGAACTTGCTCGAAAGCTGAAGGCTTAGTCCGAGATCCCATTGGATTTGGAATCCTTTTCCACGCAGAAAGTCCATTGACATCAAATACACGCAGTTTCCCTCTTTGATGTCCCATGCGACACCTCAACAGCGTGCAGGAGGCGCTCTCAGTAGGATTTGAGTTTTCTCAAGGTTTGCTATCTAGAATCTATCTCACCATGAGCACCAATTTCATACTGCGTAATTGGAGTGTTCGATAGTGTAGTTATGTTAAGTTTCCCTAAAAATCTAGGAACCCAATGAATAGTGTGAGCGCTTCTTCAAGGAAGCTCCCCTCGGGCAGCGGGAGCTTCCTTGAAGAAGGGTGAGTTATCCTGCGTCCAGTAGGTATTAGCTTAAGTAGGTAGCGAACTATATACAATATACTCCCTTCCTTAATTAAGTATGCGCCTACTTAATTGAAGGAGGCAGGGCAGCTAAAAGTGCTTTGAACATCGACTCTCGACCTCCAAGGCCCAGACTTCCAAATTGCACTCGGCAAGCGAGAGCTGTGCGTTTGTGGTGCTGGCAGGCTCACGGCTTACGCCCACATGTCAAAAAGAGGGCTTGAAGGTCAAAAGGATTCAAAAGGTCTAAAGTGAAGTACATTCTTGAACAGCAGTTAAAGTACATGTTGGTCTTTTTCAAGGTACATGTTTCACATTAGCAAGCTGGATCCAGGCCTTGCTTCTGCGGTGCTGGGCCTGTGTGGCGTTACGTGCACCGCCGCCAGGCCGAAAGCAAGGTGGGAAACAGGACCTTTTCTCATCAACTGTTCTTATGAGAAGTGGTTTCGGCATCACTAGAATGATGACGAGTGATGTGCTAAGCATCACAGATTTGACGAGATTTATTCCTGTTTGACTTTATTCTAGCTGTTGTTTGGCATTCAAAGTTTTCAGGGCCTCGAAGATGAATGGGCTGCAGCTGATGAATGTGCCTGCCAAGACCTTTGGACTCTTCAACTCACTGCTTCTTTGTACGAATTCAATTCCGTCTCAATGAATTTGTCTCAAAACCGCGTTCAAATATGCGTACGAATGTCTTGAAAGGTCGTGGGCGGAAGTCACCGAAGTGCATGGCCTTGTCGCTGATTGCTGGGAGCCTAAGGGAATGGAGGATTTAGGCCAGATGGCAACGGTCACTTGACTTGCTTCTTTTGGTTGACCTTTTTCAACCCGCTGCAGTTTGCAAACTTGGCGTTCGAATAACTCTTTGGAGAATAGGTGGATTGTGTAGTGGGCAGTAACGTGACTGCCACACCCCACAAGCCTTTGATTACGACTCCAGTAGTGATTTAATGATTTGCACAGAGAACATCTCGTGCAGCCAAGAATGGCATGTGCATCTACTGGCTTCGCAGAATCATGTTTAAAGTCTTGGATGTGGAAAAGAAAGTCCTGCACAAGTGCCACCAGGTCATCCTGCAGCGTTTGTGCAACCATTTGGAGCAATTGAAGCCAGACGCGCAGCCCCCAAAGGCTGACGACTTCTCAAGGGAAGCAAAGGAAGAAAGGGAAAATGGTCTCAAGGATTCCAAAGGTCTTACTTCTAACGGGAAAAAAGTAAAAAGTAACATAAACTAAATAAACCGTAAGCAAAAGAACGTCTCTCTATCAAAGGTAGACCGCAGACTCAAAACGTAGAACCACGTTCTGACCCTGACGAGAGGACTCAGCGGAGGCAAACCAGCAGGAGACGAAGCTGCAACTTCCGAAATCGCGATTGAAACTCGTCAAGCATTGTTCAAAGTCAGCCCTTACTTAATTAAGTATGCGCCTACTTAATTAAGTAAGGGAGTATATAGATCGCTACCTACTTAAGCTAATACCTGCTGGACGCAGGATAGCTCACGCACGATTACTTTTAGGGAAACTTAACATATCTTTTGTAGCTGTACTTTCGTGGAATTTGACGAGTTTGGAGAGCGATTTGTCAGTACGGATGACCGTACTGTGCAATAGCAGGATCTCATGCGGGAGCTTTGTGACCTGGCCTTCAAGGGAATTGTCGCTTTGCTGAAGTTGTATTAGACAAACTGCACAGAGACCGAGGATTTTCATGGATTGTTTGTGGTGTGAGTCACCAGGCTTGCAACCAACCGCTCTGCAAAAAACTCTTCGTGTCACAGCGAAACCAAAACGAAAGGTCGGCTCCAAACGAAATGGCGGCGCTCGAATGATCGCTCCCTTTTTCTTGGGCGCTTAAGTAAAAGCAGCTTCGATCGGTTCACCATGTCAAGGTGTCCAGTGCAATGCTCACAACACTCCCCCTCCATGGTGACGCTAGGCTGCCATGGTCATCAACCTCTTCATTTTCATCAAAATTCGACCGCTTTTGGTCTTCCAGCTCAAGCTGCTTCGTTTTCATTGGCCAGAACAGGCCGAGCAGGGCGTGTATCGAAGAACCTCACCTCGAAGCGACCGACACACCCTGTTCGAGTGTGCAATGCCACCCCAACTGGTTGTCCACAGGGTGACAGATGTCATCGTTCCCATCATGCTGGTGCACTCTTCGCACCATCGACTTTCCTTGACCGTCCCCGTCCGAGGATTGGTCAAGTAAGGGCACATCATTGTTCGGTGATGGACTCGACCGAACTTGGTTGTCAAGATCTTTGGATCCTGGCCTTCACCTTGCTGCATTGGCGGAGGCCTCACATGTGCTTTCGCATGCGCACTGCTTTCTCCTCTCTGCTGGAATCGTGACTGGGCGGCTGCTGATGCCGACATGGCCGATGATGCAGCCCCAGTTGATCCCCTTTTTTCGTCTTTTCGCTCCTCTTCTTCTTCTTCTTTGCGAGTCCTTTCCGCCTCCTCTTTCTTCTTCTTCCTTCTGATCTCGCTAAGGCTGTCCAAGCGGCATCCCGTCGGAGATGACGGTGACCTTTCTGGTTGGAGCCATTGACCATTGGGAGAAGGAAACCCCCACATTGTGACTTGGGTCACTGGAAGCTGGGTTGGAGTGTGAGGTGGCGCAGATCCTGGTGATCTCATCGGGCTCGGCAAATGAGATGGCCGAGACACTTCTTCTTCATCCTCTTCACTTTCTTTCTTTCTTATGGCTCGCAGTCTGGCTTCTCGTCGAGATGGTGTCCTGGGAGGACTTCGCACTGCCGACTCTTGGTCACTTGGTGATTGGTCTCGGCTGCGTGCTACTCCCTCCTTCAGGCACCAAACTAAGAGAAGCACCATCAGAGCCAGGGGAATGAGGATCATCATAACTTCCCATCCCAGGATCTCTTCTTCATCATCTTCATGCTCCCCCTGCGCCTTTGCGCTTGCCAGTGTGGCGGCGATCGTGATCAACTTAATGATCACGTTGGCCTTTTCTTCATTTTGGCCCTTCACTTCCTTTGCTTCCTTCTTCACTTTTCCTTCTTCATTCCATTCACTTTCATCTTCTCCTTTTTCATTCTTCACCTCGGTATCTCTGAGAGGTAGCCCCATGTTGAGCTGCTTCTTGAGGATTTCGACTCGAGGAGCTGCAAGTGCCTTCGTCCCCAAGTCTGCAATCATCTTCTCACCTGGCACGTGGTGCAAGGTCCACAGTCCGTCGAGGATGACTTGCCTCGCGTAGGAAGACCGCATGCGGAGGTGTCTCGTCCGCCAGCTGCCGCCTTCGGCTGTCAGGATCGTCATTCCTGATTGGCTATCTGTCCAAGCCATGCGAACGACGGGCTTGAACAGCTCATCCAAAATCACCCCTATGGACTCTCCTGCAACCATACCTTCAATCACTTCGTTCAGCTCGGCTTCAGCAGTTGACAAAGTGATCGTCGACTGCCTTCCAGATCGCCACAGGATTGGGCTGTTTCCCAGGAGGACCACCAGGCATCCATGACTCTCCTCTGAAGTTGGAGAGTAGGAAGCATCAGTGTACACATGAATCACTGGCTCAGTGTTGGCCTCCTCTTCAAAAATCAAGCCTTCTTCTTTCGTCTTCCAAAGGTAGCCTTTCATCTGTTTGGAGGCTTCGAGAACTGCTTGTGTTCCTTTGAGGACGGCTGAACCCATCCTTGAGACGCCGTACATGATGTCAGGGCGTGTTCTCGTCACCATCCATAGGAGTTCTCCTACGGTCTTTTGGGCAGCTTTGATGTCTGCCGCTGTTGGTGGGCTTGGATCATCCACCATGGCCGATTGATCTTTTGAGATCGGGATCTTCTTCTCTCGGAGCTGGTGCACTTCTGGCTCAAGGAGGTCTGTCGTGTAAGACTGTTGAGAAATGAGCCATCGATCTCTGCCAGTCTCCGGGTTCACCTGCTTGATGATCTCCATGCCCAAAAACTTCACTGGCTTTTCGGCTATGTACTCAGGACTTGATGTCGTCCACTGAGCTTGCAACTGATCCTTGACTGCCAACATCACTTTTCGTTCGGCAGTGATCATGATGTCATCGACATAAGTCATCAAAAGCCCTCGGAGCTTTGGTGCATCTTCGTCATGATGGAGTTCGACAATCCTCCACAAGTTTGGCTCCGAATCCAAGGCCTCTAGGCACAAGGGCTTTTCTTCTCCTTCAACTTCGATCTCCATCTTTTGGAGTACTTCATCACGGTGCTCACCCCATAGGCGTGGCGAGCGGCGGAATCCATAGACCGCTTTGAGTGGGACATAGTACGTGTCCTTGGCCAGCAATCCACGCTCCACGAAAAAGGCAGGTGGGCATACCAAAAGCAGCTGTTGATCTTCTTTTTGGGACATTTTGGCGTTCAAAAAAGCTGTCTTGACGTCCACCACACAGCCCTCCCACTGGTAGACCACTGCCACCCAAACCATAATTCGAAGGGCAGCTGAGTCGGCTCCAGCAGAGAAGTTCTCTTCATTTGGATCTTTGCTTTCGAAGTTTCCGCAAACGACCCAGCGGACTTTCTTCTTTCCTCCCTTCTTTCCAGGCTTGCGGGTGAAGACGAGCTTGGAAGGAATGAACTCAACTTTCACCCCTTTTGACTCGGCATCTTCCACCATTCTTTTCACCTCCCCCTTTGTGACCGGCTTCAAGGCTAGCTTGTCGGTGAGGAGAGATGTAATCTCATCTTGTGAAGGAGCCTCCCACATCACCCAACCTGCTGCGACTTCTTTCGGAGACACGATTCGGGTTTGGAGAACTTCTTCTTCTTCTGGGTTTTCTTGCGCCAACGATCTCTTCATTTTGGCCACCATCTGTGACGTCAGGATGGCAATGCTTGGCGGGTCTTCTAGCGCCAGGAGTGCTTCTTCCTCCAACAGTCTTTTGACATGGTTCCGGAACTTTTCTTCCTTTGTTTCTTCATCCTCAACCTCCTTTTGAAGTCTTTTGACGAAGGCTCAGGCCGTCCAAAATTTCCTTCTCAAGGGCGATCCAATGCCCCTCAGTTGGCGGGTCATCCAACCTCCTCATGTAGCACCTCGTGAGCCTGGGTCTTTCATCCTCCCTCACGATCCAGTGTCCGTGGTTCTCAGGGGACGGACAGAGATACCTCACCCGTTCACTGGTTGGGGCCAGGTCATCCCGCTTCCATCTTCTCCTCCGGACCATGACCTCCGTCAAAAAGGGCGGGAAGTCAGGAGACTGGTGGAGCCTTTTTGCTCTGAGAACCTCGTTGCAGTGTCTTAGGGCCCATGGCCACCACTTCGAAGTTTCTTTGGCCTGGTGTAAAGCCTTGCGAACCATCGTCTTCAATGCTTTCACTGCGGCCTCTGCACGTCCGTTGGACTGGGGTTCGTCCCCAGCGGTTTTGGTGAGGATGATTCCCCGCCGCCTTGTCCAGTCCTGAAAATGGCCTGCATATTCATGGCCTTGATCAGAGTGTATCTGAGCGACGGAGTATCCGTCCATCCTCAACCTCAACAACATGTCCATTGTCGTCCTTGTGACTTCCTTGGACTTCTTTGAGTGCATAGGCAATGCCAACCTGAAGATCTCGATCTTGAAGTCTTTTGGCGGCCCAGCATCACCTTCTTTTCCTTCAGCCTCAATGGCCCCTTCATCATCTTCTCCTTCGGCCTCAATGGCCCTTTCATCTTCTTCACTCTCATCATCATCGAAGACTCCTCGGCCCGCTTCTTCTTCAGCGTCCGACAATCCTCCTCGACGTTCACCAAGTGGCACCTTGTCGTCCTTTGGCGGCACCTGGTCATCCTTTGGCGCTTGATCATCCTTTTGATCAGCTTCTTCTTCTTCATTAGCCTCAATCAAGGGCCACAGCTCTTCTTCTTCACCTTCCTGAACTTCCTCCCCCTGGACGTCAGCATCAAAGCCCAGTGGAAGTGCCCATGTGAGCGTCCCAACCAAGAAGTAGCGGGACTGAAGACCTCCTAGGTCATACGCTGGCTTCAGCGGTCCGGCCGTGTCCAATGACAGGACCCCTGCCAACTTGTGTTCCACCTTTCTGTGTGGAGAGCATTGCTGTCGCGTTTCTTGGCATACACGGCAGTCTCTTCTACTTGGTGTGTGGCCCAGCAGCAGGTGCTCTTCCCAGGAGAGTGCACGGAGCTTGACTGGCCTTCGCAAAACCTGAGTCATCAAAGCCTCAGCAATCATCGACATCATCCCCGGAGGCCATCTGGCTAGGTCCCATGACCCACGGACGTGGTGATGGATCTGGCCATTGATGGAAAATTCCTCAGGAGCTAGCTCAAGGTTCCCACCAACCGTAGTGGGCTTCACTGCAGCCCCTCCAAGCGGCTTTTGACTGAAGGTCGTCTCCATCCAGCCGAACTCCTTTTGAAGATCATGCCACTCAAGGGTGTCCCAAAATGAGACCACTGCTGCCTCATAGTCTTTCGGTGATGCTGGCTGTTCCAGGGCGAATCCAAGCTGTCCATCAAGTCCTCTGGCACGTCTCAAATACGTGTCCAAGGCAGCTAGGAAAATCATCCTCCACAGCAACTGATCATCTTCTTTCAACTTTTCCTTTTCTTCTGGACTTGCGTCCACAATGCCAAACTCTTCACCCCCCCATCTTCGAAGAGGTCTTGCGTCCGTCCATTCAACTTGACGATGTCGCAGGACGCTTCTTGTCCTGCAGTTTGGGCCTCCAACTAGGCCGAGCAGCTTTCCTTCCCACACAGCTCGAAGTAGACCTGCATAGGGACCAGTGTTCAGGATCATGTCGTGACCGGAACCCCTCTTCTTGTCAACTTCGAGCAACTCCTTTTCATCTCCACCAACTTGCTTCCATGCCCTGTGGAGAGTGAAGCCTTCTTCCTCCCCGGCGTACAAGTGGCAGATAAAACCATCTCTCTTCATCGCTTTCCTCCTCCGACGATTGGCCGGCAAGGAGGACCATTCACCTGGTTTCACGACCAGCGAATTCTTGATCTCTTCAGGAAGCCGGCGAAACACCGGATGGGCTTCCACAAAGTGCTTCATCCACTGTACTTCATCGTGGAAACTGTCATCTTCCTTGAACTTGATTCCTTTCTTCACTTGCTCAATCTCCTCAATCAAACCAAGGGCCACACCACGAGGCAGCTGAGGACATCCATCCTTCTGGTCAACTGGAAGTTTTCCTCGTCGAGGGTGATGGACCTGAAGCTGATCTTTTGACCAGGAGACCGTGCATCCAAGGGCCTCAGTGAGCAATCCCATCGGAACTATTGGTTCAATGTCATCATCATCTGACACCATGGAACCTCCTGGGGAGATTGGCATGTCAACAACTTGTCCATCGGCAAGCGAAACCTGAACCACACGGTAGGTGGACTTGTCTTCACCCTTCTTGCTTGGGCGGAGAGGGTGCGTCGCCCCTGAGTCCAGCAAGCCCTGTCTTTCCCCCTTCTTGAGCCGGCACAACTGGAATGCCTTCTGTCGGAGGGCATTGAGCTGCTGTTGGAGCTTCTCCACCACTTCATTTCTTTCAGGAGAGTCACCACCTTTTGCGGATGGTGAGGTACTTGCAGAGGATGGGGATGGAGTGGTGTTCATCCCTCGCAGCATGTCATTGGCTTCCTTGAGAAGCTCTTTGATGGCCGGCTGAACATCATCACTTCCTTCTTCTTCCCCTTTCTGCTTCCCACCTTTTTCTTTTTCTGCCTTGGCGATCTTTGGCTTCGGTGGGCTTTCTTTAGAATCTGTTGGTCTTGTACAGGCCGGTGCAAAGTGATCTGGTGAACCACACACCCAGCAGCGTCTCTTGTCATCTTTTTGGTCGCGAGAGAACCCACAGTGTTTCCCCCTGCGACATCCTTGGTCCGTCAAAAAGAACCGACACTTCCCTTTCTCTTTGTCATCACCGTCCCTGGCCTCCTTCTTTTCTTTTGTTTCTTTTCCTTGCTCTTCAAACTTCTTGACCTTCGGCAAGTCGACGGTGTTCTCCTTCTTTCGGGATTGCTGCCCCATTTGTTCTAGCTCAGCAAGAAGATGCTCACTGTACTTCGAAATGGCATCATGGCTTGGGACAGCATCAACCATCAACGAACTGCGGACAAGCTGCAGCCTGAAGTTGAGCTCAGGGTGAACAACCACCAACTTCTTTGTCAGCTTGCTGAGTCCACGAGCCAAAATCGTGGGGTCGGGAATCGAAACTCCCACTTCCTCCGCCCGCCTCCGCCATCGCAGCCACTTCCGAAGTGTCATGACTGCTTGGCCAATTGACGTGGCCTCCATTGGATTCTCCAGGGCGGCTAAAATAGCCTGACGTTCAGAAAGGCCTTCAGGCTGGTAGGCAATCATGCCTTTGACCAGGATTCCAAAAGTTGACAAACTTTTGCTTGACACAACTTCTTCACGAAGGGATTCTGGAATGGCAGACAGGAGTAGGGCTGTAGTTCGCTTCTCCAATCGTGCCCACTTGCGAGTTGTCAACTTGGCACTTGGCGATATCTGATGGGTCAACCGGTCCAAGGGCGACTTGGTGAGGTGGCGCTGATACCACTGGCGAGATTCCTCCAAGGTCAAATTCCACCACTCTTCCGACGTTGAGGTCAGGTCAGCCATCAGTGGTGCCAGGAGCAGAAGCCAGTCAGCGAAATCAATTGGCGCCGACTCACAATTCCATTCCGGTAGTTTGGGAAGCTCAACATTGTGCTTCACCATCTCGGGCTCGTTCTCCAAGTCCGTCGAGGATCCTTTTGACATTCGATCCTGCATTTTCTGCATTCCTTCCACAACCTTCAAGATCACCTGCAAGGTCTGGTGATGCACACTGTCTTCTTCACTTCCCACTTCTTTCTTCTTTGACCCTCTGCCCTTTCCAGTGCCACTATTCTTTACTGGCTCTTCTTCTGTTTCTTTGCGCGCGGTGCTTTCTTGACCTTTTGAATCATCAACTTCACTGGACCTTCGTCCACCATTTTCTTCAACCCTTTGTTGTGTCTTTCTCCCCCGTCCTCCAGTTCCTTCTTCACGACCAGAGCTTCCATTCGGGGTGGCAAAGATCGGGTCGTCTTCCTTGGCTGGTGGCAGGATCGAGGACATTCGACGAAGCTCCTGCTGCAATCGAAGGTTTTCTTCCAACAGGGTTTGAACATGTCGTTCATGGAGACCTGCTGGTGGCTTCACCACTTCTTCTCGAATTCTTCTTTGAGCTTCATCCCTCAGCAAACCATTCTCATAGGTGAGCTGTCGAAGGTGGCGAAGGAGATCTTCTTTCTCTGCAGCTTCGGCAGTTTGGACATGGGCTATCAACTCTTGAGAACTTCGACTGTCCATTTCTTCCTTTCTCACCCTCCAGTCACGGTCAGTGGAGGGAAGAAATGAAGGCCGCTGCAATGCTGGTGCTTGTGGCGTTTCTAGCCTAGCATAAAGCCATGGAGCTTGGGCTTGTACTTGGTGCAACGAGTCCAACTGTTCAGGCGTGAAGAGTGGAGCCATGGTCACAGCATGTGATTCCGGTGTCCTACCATGGGGACCCGCTTCAATCATCTCATGACCTTGGTTCTCATCTATCACTTCAACACCATGCGACTCCCTTTTCTCATGACCCTTCAGTCCCAGAACCTGTGGTGTCCTGGCATGTGCTTCTTCAGGCGGCTTTGGCAAACCTGATTCATCCTCAATGGGCTTCGGAGTTGAGACTGCTGGTGCCTTAGAAGCCGAGGCACTTTCCTCGGTGGATGGCAGGGTGACCGTCGGCGATCGGGTGGAGCCAACATCATGCCCTTTGTCTTCAGGCGCTGAGCTTGCTTTTCCTCCCTTTCCGACCTTAGCGTCTTCGATCGGAAGTTCGCCTCTCTTTTTGGCTTCCCGCTTCATCCTGGCATCTGCTGCCTGGATCTCCTTTTGGCCCTGTTCGAGCTCTTGCCGGGTGGCCTGTCTTCGCCTATGCTCCAGCATGAACCTTTGGGCTCATAACCTGGTGTGAGTCACCAGGCTTGCAACCAACCGCTCTGCAAAAAACTCTTCGTGTCACAGCGAAACCAAAACGAAAGGTCGGCTCCAAACGAAATGGCGGCGCTCGAATGATCGCTCCCTTTTTCTTGGGCGCTTAAGTAAAAGCAGCTTCGATCGGTTCACCATGTCAAGGTGTCCAGTGCAATGCTCACAACAGTTTGGATCTTGCTGGTTTTGCCTGCCCAGTTTCTTTCAAGGACCACAACCTTTGCAGTCAACGGCGAGTGGCCAACAGGCTACAGCGAGGACCTCAACATTTGTGCAGGACACCGAAATTCAAAGCGATTCCTTTTTATAAAATAAGCCGAAGGGCCTTGCCTCAGGCCTCCTTAATTAAGCAGGCGCCTACTTGAAATAAGGAAGTAAGGCCCACCTGAAGGCGGGGAGTTGAAGAAGCGCTTGCACTATTCATTTGGTTGCCAGACTTTTTGGGTTTGCAAAAAAGAAAGGACAGGAGAAAGCTGGAGGTGTGACGGAATCCGTTTCCATCGCCCACGAAGCCCTCTAGTATTTCGAACACCCGAGACTCATCAAACATTTTCACAGAAAATTCTATAAAAGAGACGGTTCGTAGACGACTTCTTTTTTCTTCTTTTTCTGATTGGACTTGAGGCTGGGAGACCCAGAAGCCTGTGGCAAGATGCAGGCGAAGAGCCGGGAGCGAAGCAGAATGTGACTCAAGCGGCTCTCGACGTTTTCAATGGGGTTTTAAAGCTTTTTAACGGGGAAGTTTGGCAGTTTGTTTGTGTTCCAATAGCTCCTATGGTTGTGGCGTTTGAAGGCGGGGAGGAAGTAGGACATGAATAGAAGGTTTGGCAAATTGTTTGTTGGGCTTTGGGTGCGAGAATTAGGGAGGCCATATGTGCGATAGCAGTGATGTTGCTTCAAGCGTAATGAGCATCCTCTAGGTGCTTCTACCCCTTTTGCGGCATTGGCGCCGACGCATGCAGAAGGTGCAAGCAGCGTCAAGCATCCGATCTTCTGCATTTATGCGGATTTCCGCCAATTCACCTTATCGAGCCAGGTGTTGATATTTTCACGATCCACCAGGTGGGAAGGAAGACTTTGCACTGTGCAGTACATGAACATGTGCTAAGCTGTTAGGCTACTCGACATCCTTGAGGCTTGCTTGTGGCAGCAAGGGTGGCATTGAGCTCAGGTCGTTCTCGACATGAAGTAAAGTTGTACAAACACAAGCCTCCAACCCAATAGCGATGGCCTCCAACCTAGTATGAAGCACATGAAGCACCACAGGTCTTTCTCATGTGTTGAACACCGTGAATGCAAAATTTCCGGACTCGTCCCTAGTGAGTACAGTGATCACAGACGACTTCCCAAGTGGACAGGTTGCCCACGATATCAGAAAGCTCATGAGAGTTGTAAAAGATGTTTGCATTTCACATGTTTTAAATTTAAAGGTGACATTTTTTCATTTTTTTTCCAAGGTCTCCTTCCGTTCTGCGACTGGATGGAGCCACAGCAGTCGGTCAGCGGCAACGACTGGTTGATGAGCCGGCGCACCCAAGCAGTCGGTGCGAGTCCGTTCCACATATCGATACCTCGTCGATACGGATGCTGGGTTGTTCAATGCAAGTCTATTTGCAAGTCTATCAACATCAATTGCAGAGTCAATTAGGCGCTCAGGCCTTAGATGGATTTACCTGTAAGAAGTTGTTCCTACAACAAAATAGAACCCTTTTCCTTGAGGTTCAATACGTCTTCCACGAGGTCCATTTTTCTGATCTCGACCCGTCACCAACTGAGGAATTGAGTGCAGTGCGTTTGGCACGCATGTCTCACTTCTTTGGGACATTTTGGGACTACTAGGAACAAGTGCCACGCTACTAGTAACAAGTGCCACGCTAGTAGTAACAATTAGAATTAAAGTAAGTTTAAATAGCTTCTTGTTACTACTAGTAAGGCACCTGTTACTACTAGCGTGGCACCTGTTACTAGTAGCTTCTTTGATTGCTAAATATTCTGATATGCCATCGTCCAGGGATGTCCGGTGGTGAATCCATTTGGGCTCGAGAGACTTGGATTCTTTGACCTCCCGTGACAATGACAGCCCCATGCTGTCCATCTGGATCGCACGGTCCTCTCCCTCCGGATGATCAGGACTTGAAAGGTTGGTGGGAGAAGAAGGCTGATGTGGATTGTTATTTTTCTGGAAAGAAAGAAGATCCAAAGATGATCATCCTGGGCTTTGCAGACGTGTTTGGTGCAATGTCCGGCAGACATCGCAGGGTTTGTGACGAATTGGCAGAAGCAATTCCTGGAAGCTTGGTTTGTCTACCTGACCTATTTCATGGAGATCCCGTTTGCCAGGATTTTGCTGGGTATCAATGGCCCAAATTGTGGCTGCAGCTGTCCATTTTTCGAATCGTGTATCGGATTCGATATTACCATAACTGGGAGAAGTTGGGCCCAAAAATCCAAGCTTTGGCGAATACCTTTGGAGAACGCTCAGCTCTCTTTTGTTTTGGCTTCTGCTTCGGTGGATATTTGGCCGTTAAAGCGAGCTCGACTGGGCTTTTCCGTGGAGTGGTCGGATTCCATCCGTCTCTGATTGTTGGTCGGCTGCAATGTTCGCCACACTCCCAAGGAGGTGCTGATTTGGCGAACGCTGCACGTTGCCCTCACCTGATGCTTCCAGCGTCAAATGATGATGCAGCCGACCCTTGGCAAGAGTTGTAGAAGTATTCATAAGGTTAGATGGATCATGATGGATCAGTAACATTGCAACGTCCATCGCTATTACCCAGTGTTTGCCACTTATTGTGGATGGGATCCTGCAAATCCTATAAAATAAACATGCATGGTGCATGGAGTTCTTTATTTTTGTTCACAACATGAACTGGATCAGTTAGAACCACCTGGGGCACGGTCTGACAAATGTACTCGTAGGGCTTTCTAGCATAGCTTCCAAAAACATATGTTGGCTTGCACGGCTTGCACCAGTCAAAGACATTTGCAGCTGGTGCTGTTCATTCTCATTGAGTCATTATTTGTTTGTCCGTCCCCGGTGCATAGGCTCATCCATGTACTGGGTATTTGTACTATTGTACTGCTCATGTTCCTTCCTTCCTTCCCTTCCGGATTTGCTCCTCTCATCTCCTCACCGTTGCGGAGTCTGCGGGTTCTTCATTCTCCGGCCTGAGCCCTTCGCCCTTCGCCCCTCCTTTCCACCTGCTTCTCCTTCTTCTCCTTCTTCTCCTTCTCCTTCTGCTCCTTCTCCTTCTTCTCCCTTCTCCCTTCTCCCCTCTTTCACGCTGCACATTGTGAGAGTTGCAAGGTAAAGCCGGGCGGCGAGTTCATGAATCTGGTCACAGCGGCCTATCCCTCTAGCAGGTCTGTTTGCTATGAGAGTTTCTTGGCCAAAGCCCCTTCGGTAGGTCGTCAATGTTTGGTTCGTAGAGAGCCAGGCCTTCATTCGAAGCTCTTGGAGTCAGCATTTACAATGAATTTGTTGTTGTTTCACCTTTTTGAACTTTTGGAGTCCACATGTACGATGGACACCTTGCTTGAACTCCAAACTCCATTAGAATGCGGAAGCCGCCTTTGGCTTGGATACTATCACAGCATACCTTGGACAAAATTATGTATACTAGTATACAACACCGAGGACATACCCAAGTAAAAAGAACTTGTGCCTGGCGATATCAGAACGAGGAGCCAAGAAGGTCTCGACACATCAACGTGCCACGCCCCCCTTTCTTCAGTAAATTCCCTTTGCCTCATAATGCGTAGTTTTGTGAGACCAAGATATGGTGCATGGCTGGATGACGCGTGCCGTGGATGATCCAGTGATTCCGCAGCCTGCTGGTGTGGAGACTGTGCGGGAGTCGCATGCATCTGCCGTGAAACTTGCAGCTGATTTTTTTGTTGACTTAGCAAAGTCCCAGGAATAGTTGTCAGAGATCACTGACTTAGAAGCTGCGGTAAAAGAATGGACACGAGCTTGAGCAGCTTGAGTCTGAAAAGCACACTTCTTACATCTTCATACTCGTACTGTGCTAAAGCCTTTCACTGGGTCACAAAGCCTTTCAGGTGCAGGAGGGGTGGGTCTGAATTTGACTGCAGCCTCAGTGGTGGTCATCTTTGATCCGGACTGGAATCCTTTCTCAGATCTTCAAGCGCAGGAGATCCGGTTTCTCGTTCGAACGAGACAAATCACAATGTGTTGCCACATTCGTTCTATGTTCTTGTTTAAAGAGCTGTGCTTTTTGCAATAACAACCGGCACGCAGGATCGCTCCTTCCGTATTGGCCAGACGAAGGTGGTAGAAGTCTATCGCTTGTTGGGAGCCGGAACCATTGAGGCCCAGCTCATCCCGCTACATGCCAACACATGTTCACATGTGAACGCATCCAGTATATTTGGGACGTGAAAGACCTAAGAGACTTAGAAAATCACTAAATCAACAATGAACTCAAACAAATTGCCAATCCGCTGATACATCTAACCACCTCCCTTTGCGCAGAGCTGCATGACCAGGAGCAGGTCTATGTGCGACAAGTTTGGAAGCAACAATTGGCCGCCGTTGCATTGGACGGCACACGAAGCGCCCGTCGACTGGATGGAGAACAGTCCTTTGGACTTGCGCACTTGCTGGAGCTGCATGAGACCTCAATGCTGCCTGGAGCTTAACCAAATGGACTTGAGTAATTAGTTGATAGAAGCATTATGTAGAGACCAGGTAGAAGTATACAGAAATAAGATGACATGGGAAATTGCGTTGCTTTGTGCATTTTGAGCGAGGCCAGCACTGATGGCAGAGGCATTCAAGAACAAGTCACAGGAGAACTTTAGTAGCTTCTTGTTACTAGTAGCGTCCTTGCTCCTAGTAGCGACGCCGGGAGCCCCGAGTAGCGAACATTGTTACTAGTCATGTTTGAGCTGTGTCCATTCCACCCGTGAAGTGACTAGCCGGTATCAAGTTGTGCCAAATCGCTTCAGGAGTCTGAGGAAGGTGGAGTCCGCGCAATAGGCTCAGGTGGACTTTGAACACGCGTATTTTTGGAAAAAGATCGGCAAACCTTTGTCCCGACTTCAATTGAGTCCAGTCTGACGCCAATGCCGACTCGAGAGAACAAAACCAAGGTCTTCAGCGATCTTCGGGGAGGAGCAGCACCAAACCCTGGTGCGTTGGGACCTGATCAGAAAGGAGATAAAATGTTCTTGTTATGTAACTGTAAACATGAATTTAATGTCTTTTCAATCCCGTCAAAAGGTTTCCCAGCTTAAAGCCTGTCACTTTGTGGCGGGGAGAAAGCTTCGTGTAAATCGTGCAAGGGTTTAACATGGTTTAAGTCCTTCCTCAGAGAAACGATGTTTCTCGCTTTAGGCTTTGGCGACCGGAAGAGGATCCTGAGCCAGAAGAGGTGCGGCAGCGGTACACAAGAAGAAACAAGATGTGACCATTTGTTGAATCGTTAATTTTTATGTACGTTTGAATCTGAATCGGTCACAAAGGGTCGGATTCAGATTCTGACTGGAGAGTCGGCAGGGACCTGACGCTGCGCAAGAGCTGGAGGAGACAGAAAAAGAGATGAAAAAGAAGGTAAGGGTTCCTTGAAGCTATTCAGGTACCTTCACCTTCTTTCTTTCTACTTCTTTTTTCTTATCAAGTCGGTGTTCACCGCTTTTCCGAAAAAATTCTCCAGGAGCTTCATGGCATGTTCGACCAGGTGGACCACTCCAAGGTCGTGCGCAACGACACCCAGGACGGATCTCCAGAGGATGGGACTCAAAAGCAAACGAAGGACAAACGTAGCTAAGAAGCTACGAACATAGCTCCAGGCATTACTAGTAACAAGGGCATCGCTACTAGTAGCTAATTGCTACTAGTAGCGATTGCCGGTTTGCAGTTTGAATCAACTCCAATTGCAGGAGAATCTGCTGCTTGCAGATCTAGATGATGGCTGAGGCATGAGAAAAAAAGGGAGCGTGGAATCGAAAACTCTTTCAGTTCGAAAGGAACGCATCCAATCGAGACATGCGATGGATTGTTCGACACTTTGCTCAAACAGCTTCTCGCCATGGCATGTTCTTCCCAACCATGCATCGGGTGGTTTCGGTTCCCCCCGGTTCGACACGATTTCGCCTCACGATCTGTAAAATCCACAAGCTCACGCTTAGCTGAAGGCTGCGCCCTTTTTGGTGCAATTACCGCTGTCTATTGTCGTGCCCGTGTGCAACGAAAGTCCTTAGACAGCCCTTGGCAACTTGGCCGATGGAAGCTCCGCAAGAGATTGGTTTTGGCACCTATGGAGGAGGTCACTGACTGTGCCTTTAGGCGTTTGTGCTACGAACTGGGTGCTGGGTTTACGTGGACCGAAATGGTAAGAGCTGCTGCTTTACTTCGGCGCAATCAGTCAACCTTACGGCGCATTGACACCTTTGATGCCAAATGCCCGACGGGTGTCCAACTCTTGGTGAGTGGAACAAATGAGCTGAGGAAAACCTTGGAGATGTTGGAAGAACATGCTTTGACAGATCAGCCACATTGGGCACGAGGGATCCATGGTATTGATCTCAACTTTGGTTGTCCATCACCTCACATCATCAACGATGGCTTAGGCCCTGCAATGCTGAGTCGTCCCCAGCTGCTTCGTCAGCTCTTTGACTGCTTGGCTGAATGGCGTGCTCGAAGCTCCTTGCCCATCGGTGCCATCGGCGCGAAGATGCGCTTGGGTTTGAATGAAGACGAGGAGAAGAGAAATGTTTATCTCAAAGCAATCCAATGTGCTACGGGTCGCTTGGATTATGTGGTCTTACACCCACGGCATGCCAGAGATGAGTCGACATCCCAAGCACGTTGGCACCACATCCGCAAGGCCAAAGAGCTGGCGGGTCATCGCTTGGCGATCATCGGTAATGGTGATGTCTTCAGTCAAAGAGATGCGACGCGCATGCTGCAGCAGACCGGCTGCGATGCTGTGATGGTGGCGAGGGGCGCCACCAAGACACTCGGCATGATCTTCGAAAGCGAAGAACGCTCCGGACGCGAAGGTGAAGTCTCGTCCCGACTGGACTCCATTGAAGTGATTGAGGGACGTCTCAGTGAACTGGAGCAAAAATTCCAGGTGAGGCCCAAAATCGCTGAGTACCACAAGGAATCTGTTCGCCGTGCCAAAGCTCGACGCTCACATCAGACACAGAAACAACAGTGGGAGGATTTTATCAAATGGTTGAGAGAAGAAACGATGAACAAGAGCGACAAGACCGATGAGCTACAGCTGACAAACACAGCTACAAATGACACGAAGATTGCTAGTTTCTTTCATGAAGGAGTTCGGATAGGGTTTTGCAGCTTGTCGCCGCAGTTGGAATATGAGTATCAGGGTTACAAGGGTGTGTCGACATTTCTGCCATTTTTGGCAAACCTGTTGGAGAGCAAGCAGAGTTTGTACACCCCATCAGAGGCTGAAACCAATCCGATGCAGCTTGTGATAGGTTTGGCAAATGGTTGCAACATCATGGTGCTCTTCAATAAGAATCACATTTTTCGGCTAAATGTTTGGTGTGCATCCTGCGAAGCTCCGAAATTGGTCAAAGTGAATTGATTTGCGGTGAGAGACGCGGTCTCGAGGTTGTGTAGCCACCCAACGGCTCACGAAGACGGAGAGGGAGGACGGCCTCGGAACATGCCCTTGCGAGTCAAACAGAGCGAGAGCGGAAGGCCAAGAGAAAGGGGTCTTGGACAAGACTCACAAGACTCACAAGACTCTTGTTCACATGGTGTGATTGATGATGGACAACTCATTGGTGATGGGGCATACAAACAAATATAATATATAATATACATAAAGAACAAAACAAACGGGAGATGGATGAAAAGGAAAGCATCCAGACAATATGTTTGAAGGACAACATGTTTGAAGACTTAGAACTTCTGGTCGTTGTAGCTGGAGGAAGACTGACAGGTGAAAACAAGTTAAGAAAGGAGACTTGGCTTGCGTCAAATCCAATAGCTTTATTTTGTCACCACCCAACTGATTTTGGACCGATGATAAGGAAATATGATTTCACAGGTTTCCGACCAAAGACCTGACGCTCAGAGCGCAAAACGCCTTTCATGTCAAGCTTGAGCTACTTTGACACACTAAACTTGTTCTTTCTAGCAACAAGGGCACTACTACTAGTAGCTAGAAGCTACCAGTCATTTTTGGATTGCGAGCTGGAGGGTCCCGTGCCTTATGTGCCTTCCACAAAGTTATGCTTTCTGACACTAAGATGTGTAAACGGACAGAAATTGACGATTTTCAAACTTGTGAAAGTCTAAACTTTCCGAGCGCAGTCGCCTCTCGTTCGAGTCAGAGTCGCTCGCCCGAACTCAGGCCAACATGTTCCACTGTAGCGAACAACGAGTCGCATGGTGAGAAAGGGGTAGAGTGATGTAGAGTGGACCTGCCATGGTCAAGGTCTCCCAACTCTTCCGACAACAATATGCTGTACAGGAATGAGCAATACCATTTCACAGCCACAATCATGCTCGTGCAACATGTTACACAATTCTGAACTAAATGCTTCAACCGTAACACATCGTAACACGGTTAACATGTTGATGTTTAAGTGCGTCAGATGTCGTGTTAGTTATGTGCACGAAGCGCCATGCCGGCCCTGAACATCCACACTGTGGCACCTCAGATGCGTTGGTCAACTGGACACTAGCATCTAGTAGGGGTGGTTCGTAACGTCCTTGCTCCGTTCGTAGCGATGCCCGAAATGCTCCTAGTAGCGTCCTTGCTCGTAGTAGTATGGCCAGGAGCCCCTAGTAGCTTCTTGTTACTAGTAACTAGAAGAATTGTGAACGAAAAGAAATGGCAAAGATCAAATGTGATGCAGAATTCCTTTTATGCGCCCGTGGCCAGCACAAGATGGTTCAGTGTGTGATATGGTCGTCCAAACAAGAGGCAAGCAGATAGATCATCTCAAGCAGATAAATGATTGATTGTTCTTGCTTGAGACGGGAGTTGACAAGGCGAAACAACCACAGGATATATACAGGGGGTTCTCTGAGACAACCAAGTGTGGAGCAGGGTCTTCTTGAACACGGTTGAATGGTTGATGGGACATTGGACAGGGCTCCGAACCAAGACTCCAGATACGATAGGACAATGCTTTGCTTACGCCTTACGCGATTGGATTCCTATTTGGCGCATCTCCGAGATTACAGTTGATTGCGCTGTTTTGACAGCTTAGCAGTGCTTTCGACCAAAGGGTTGGTGAAGGGAAGGAGTTCATGGCTTTCTTCAAGCAGCCATTTCATGCTGCAGTCCAGTGTGTGGTTGATAGCAGACGGCCAGCAAAACTAGGTAAGCATCCATTTCTTTGTAAAATCCACGCATAAAGGACTTGTTGTTTGTTTCTGAAGGGTGGTGTTTTCCAAGCTCCTTCCCTCGAAAGCACTTCCTTTCATGGTGTTTTCTTGCATGTTCTTTGTCCTTCAAAAATAAACATTTCCCCTTTTTCGGAACCCGTTTCAGTTCTTTCAGTGTCGGCATTTCCTTGGCACTGTCTACTAGAGTGTTGGAATATGTGACGTCTCACTTTCCGCCCTTTCCCTGCACCCGTTGGTCCCTTTTCTACACCGTCCGCTTTCAAAGAACGCTTGTAATACTGTCCACCACTTTGTAGAAGCTTGAAACGTTCCTACTTTTCCGCAGTTGGCCTCAGGAACCAGACCTTTACTTTGGTTTAAAAAGAAACTCTTCAACCAGCTCTCTTGAGGCTGGTTCCTTCAAGATCTCTACATTGTCCTTTCATTGTCCTTTAAATCCTGACATTTCCTTTAAAGCGTTCCAGTATCCTTTCATGTTCCTGAAAGGTTCACTCTCCATTCACTTCCTACTAAAATGTGTGCGTTGTCCTCTAAAATTCTATCACATGTTTGCATGTCCTTTTTCTTTTCATCTTCCTTTCGTTTTTTTGTAAACTCTACTTGCATCATGTTTGCATCTTCCTTTAAAACATGCTCATTTCCTTCACCTTTATGTTCGTTTCAAAGCCAGCTTCCGAGTTTCTGCTCTCCCAAGTACTTGTAAGAAATGAGCTGTGAGCGGCTGTGAGGCTGGGGGATCCGACTTGGAAGGCCCTGTGGTGCGGAACAACTTCCCCGAGGAGGTCTTGAAGCGCCACCCGTCGCAAGTCAGAGGTACCTCGTTGAACTAGTTGGAGCGTGGCCAGAGGGCCTTTCGCTAATCTGTTTCTTGTCGCTGGCGTGTGCGAAGACTGCTCGAAGAGGTTATTCGGCGGTGTCACCAGGTCACTAGGCAAATCGCAACTTGATTGGGAGATCGAATTCTGAAAGGTCCAAACTGGGTGTTAAGGCCTAAAGATCGTCAACACCAAGCGCAACGAGCTGGTGAATGAATTCTGGTACGATGAGAAACAGTGCTTCTACAGTGGCCTTGCTGGATGGGGGAACATCGTGGATCGGGTTGAGCAGGTTTGTTCGAGACTGCATCGAGGTCAAAAGAATCCATGTTGACGAATGGCTTCACCCAACATGGCCATGAACGGGCTTTGCTTTTCTTGTGAGGCTACAAGATGCTACACGCTTCTATCATCCACCATCCCCTGAAAGGCTCACTCACAGCATCCAATAGAAGAGGTGTTCAATTTGTCATCAAGGTCATCGGTCTAGAAATCAATGTCGCCACTTCATTTGGTTCGATATCCGACAAGCTGTATGAACAGCCGACCAAATGTAGGGAACCGGTTGGCAGTTTACATTTGAAGCATGCTTTTATATAAAAGATTGTATTTGACGATCCGATCTCTTGAACGACGAGTTTGCCGAGAAGAATGGACACTCGTTACGTGATGTTTGTCATCGTCGCCCTAGGCCAAAGTCGTATAGAAGACCTCGAAGGTGCACACAAATATGCAAGGATTATCGGCCTGGATTCGAACCAGGTGCAACGAACGAATCAAACAGACCCAAACGTTGGCAAACGAAGAAAGATTCAGTGGCCTTTTATTGAATGACTCATGGCCCCTGGTCGAGCCTGGTCGAGCGTGGTCGAGTGGTCATTCTATCCTTTACCCAACCCAATAGCAGTGGCCTCCATTCCAGAAGCGATGGCCTCCTTTACTCATACAAGACATGCCGCGAGCTTTTCGGAGCATATACGATTTGTCATCCCTGTGCCAGTCGGATCTGAGCTCCGAGATCCTCTCGGCCTCTTTGATGGTCGCAGGGGTCACCTCCCAGCTAGCCTTTGTGGCTGTGCTTTGGCTGAACTGAAATGAGAGGGTTCGAATCGAAGTGAGCCACATGTTCACGGCACATTGCAAAGATTAGCATCTTTATGCATCAAATTGGTCCTTTTCTGATAGCCCGGACAGCTTCCTAGCGCAGACGCTTTCGTCGCCTGAGGATGTTTGGAATCAAGAAGTTCCGGCCTATCAAGCGGACAAAAAGAAGTTTCGGGTCGGGGGCCTCGAGCTGGGGCACGGCCTCGTGTCCAAAACTGAGAAGCACCGTGACACGCTTTTGCAAAGCGCTTTGTGCAAAGCGAAACGTTGTGTGTGTTTTTTTGCCGTTGCTCAACCCGTTTTTGGGTCCGTGTGAAATGAAGCAAAGCCGTTGTAAGGGACATGCTGAAAAGACTCAAACGCAGTCGCCGTACAAGAAGTCAGGTCTCTCGTGTTGTGAAGTACAGCGTGATGTACGTAGTGACACGAGAGCCAACGAACGACTGCAGAGTTGGCTCGAATATTTTTTTTTGGGAGTGGACACTCCTTTGCGATGGACCGAGACGGTCCACATGCCATGGCGCGGGCGGTCGCCAAGTGGTTGCTTGGCACCCTGCCCCTGCCTCTGATGGAGATCTTGAACGCCTGGACGACCCAGCGATTGGAGACGTGGGTCGAGACGACCTCACGTTGCCTCCGCCGAGGTGCACAGCTCACGAACTCGTGGGGCATCGAGTTCATGTTTGCTGGCTTGTGCGCCTACATCGAGGACGTGCACATCATCAGCCGAGCCTCCTTAGTCCGCCGGACACGAATGAACTCAGCCATTGGCAACGCCATGATGTCCCTGGCGACCCAGGATGAGAACGACCTGGCGACGGCTCGCCGTAGCTTGGACTTCGAGTCGCCATGAGAGCGACGTTTGCACCTTGGATGGTTATGACACCTCGGCACGAAAAGCGCCGCACCTCTCGGTCGGTGTTGAGCCCTCAGTTTGAGACAGGACCGGACGGACCGCACTCTGCCTCACACTTAGCATCGGTGACTTGGTGTCGATCGTCGGCACCCCCCTCCTTCTTTATTTCTTCCTGGCACACTCTGTGCTTTCCGCAGTAGGCCATGCTACAGACCCCCCTGGCACACTGGCTGACGACCAAGTCAGACCACTCAGACGCCAGTGAGCGTCGCGACCTCCCTCGGAGTGCTCCATCCACCGGGGGTAACCTGAAGCGCGCACTTGAGGCTGCGCAGGCGAACCACTCGGAAATCTTCCACGACGTGCACTGTCAGCCGGCGGTAGCCCGAAGAGAGCCATCGAGGCCGCTCAGGCCACCCAGTCCCACTCTTGTTCTCGGACATCCGCGGCCGCCCTCGCTCCAAGAGAGGGCCCAACTGACGGGCTCGGGGCCAATTCGGAGGACACTCGTGGCGAGCGGCTGGGTTCCAATTCCTCGCCTCTCACGGGTCGACACGGACACCATTCTCTCACTCGGACGCTGGAGCTCCCATGACATCCAGCCTCAGCGCTACATTCAGGAGGCTTCCTGGCTCCAACCTTGTCGACCCCTCGGAGAGCCTGACCACAGCACTGCACGACCCTCGATCGTGCATGATGGTGAACTGGATGACCTCCGCGCGCAGCTGGAGGGCTCGGCCGCGAAGGTCGCTTCTCTGAACCTCCCACCGAAGTACACAGTGAGTCGCAAGACACACCTCCCTGACCCAAGGGCGTACGGAGCCGGTCCAGCTGACTGGTGCACGAAGCGCGGACGTCCCTACGGACTCGCACGCTCTCGACACTCCGACCGGCTAAGCCAACCTTGTCGCGGCTATGCTTCCCAGAAGCATCCGAGGCCGCAGAGGCTTCCTCTGAAACGGAGGTCACATAGACAGACCCTCGGATGAGTCGGACACCTCGTCCACCAGTAGCGACCCTGAGCGGACAAACGCCGTCCGCTGCCGCGACCCAAGTTCGACGATCTACTTGGACACACCCAGCTTTAGTCCTCGGGGCCCCGAGACCACCTCGATCGTCGTCGAATCCCTTACGAACGAACGACCTCCTTTGGCCACACCAAGCTTTAGTCCTCAAGGCCCCGAGACCTCGCGCACGATGTTCGCGATCGCGACATGCTCGACGCATGCGAGACTGTGGGACAAATCGTCACACCGTTTGGCCCTGCGTCATGTCAGGCCCCGGCCCGGGGGTCCCAACTGTTACATGCTACGCACGAAAGAGATCCACGACCGATCGCCCGCGGCTCAGGCAAGACCGGACGAATGTTCGGTCACGGCGCTTCGCTATCCGGCGCGAACATGCGCGCCAGGTCGGCCGAGTTGGCCAACATGGCGTCGGCCCGCGGACTGCCAGAAAACATGGTGGGCTTCCTCAAAGCCCAGCGAATCCTGTCCGTGGGGCTCACGTCGGCCCTGGCGGACTCGTACAAGGAGGTCGACTAACTGCTGCACAAGCCGCTCATCGAGGGCGTCGAGATTGAGGGGCACGAGTGGGAGATCCCCACTGAAGACGGACCCGTGGTGCGCGCAGCACTGCGCTTCCTGTGGCAACAGTGCCGCGAGAACGGGGGGCAAGCTAGCCACCCTGCCGGTGAGCCAAGTCAGTAACCGGGCACCGCAGCTATCCCGCCGGGAAGCTGCACGATAGACGGATCCGATCCCAAGCCGGCACCCACTGTGCCTCGGGAAATTCCCCAGCAAGAACTCCAGAAACTCTTGCAGTTCTACGCGGACACGGAAATCGCTGGGCGCCACCGCGACTTTCCGATGAAAGCCCTGGTTGGCACAGAGAAGGTGATGGCCCGGATCTGGCACGAGAGGTGGATTTCCGGCCAATTCACCCCACCACGATTCCTGGTGCCAATTCGTGGACAACCGGACGAACGGCGTCTTGCCCATCATGATGGCTGCGGTCACTCTTGCCCGTGACACTGAGGTGCACCCCTCCTTGATCAGACTCACGAAGCACGTGGGAGACTTCTATAGCCCGCTCGAGATTCGGCCGCGGCCTTTGATGGAGATCTTCAGCAGCTGGACCGACGTCCGTTTGGAGACATGGGCGGACACGGCCGCCCGCAGCATCCATGTGGTTCGCGGACTACGCCGAGGAGCTCACTTGACCAATGCCTGGCCCACGGAGTTCATGTTCGAGACCCTGTGTGCATACCTCGAGGACGCACGCTTGATCGGCCACACGGCAGTCATGAAACGCAACCGACAGGTTGCAGCAATTGGTGATGGCATGATGGCATTGGCGACCCAGGACCCAGACGACCCGCGCCTGGCACGTCGTCGCCTCGACTTCGAGTCACCATAAGCGTGACGTCGGATGCTCGGACACGGTATGAAAACTCACCAGCCGTCGGTCAGTGTTGGGACCTTAGTCAGAAACGGACACCTGGACTGACGCTCACTCGTCAGATGCGCAGCACTTAGATTCGGTGACTTGGTGTCGATCGTCGCATCCTTTTTTTAATCCGCACCCTCTGTGCGCTCGCGATGTCAGCATGGCTCTAGCCGATCGGTGGGACACCGTGATAGCGGCCTGCGAGATAGCAGCCGTCGCGCGCATCCTCCCCACTCTGGTTGAACTGGGCTGGACCTCGCCATCCGTCCTGGCAGCTCAACGACCCCGATGGTCGACCCTCGATCTGAACGATGAGGAAACCTCCATGCTGCAGATCCCCTTGACCACCTGGCTGGAGCCACACCAGGCCGGCCCGCCGGACGATCTGCGTAGAGACCTTCCCACGATCAATCCGTCCACTGGGGGTAGCCAGCACAGGCTAGAAATCCTTCCGGGAGGGCATTTGGGCGAGAAGCAACTCGCACCAACACAACAGCAGAGTCAAAACCTGGGAGACGATAGCCAGGGCTTGGCACATGCCTCCGTGGCCACTGACCCCAGCACTCATCGAACGAGTTGGGGCCTCCCTCAAAGCGGGAGGGTACAAGTCCGCCAAGCTGTACTTCAGCGCAGCCCGGCGCGAACACGTCGTTCACCACGGTGAGATTCCCATCAAGGTGGAGTTGAGCATGAAAGACAGACTCAGTGAGGAGCATCGAACGCGGACTGGGCCCGTCCAAACTCAAAGACTCGTTCGACCTCACCTTACTGAGGACAATCTGGGACCTTCCCAACTTCGAGAACGTCGAGGACGACTACATCATGGTCCTGAGCGGCTCCTGGTTCCCCATGCGAGAAATTGAACTCGCGAATGCCAAGGCATCCCACATCCGATTCGAGCACACCTCCTCGGACAACCCGGTCGTGCACTGGAGCCTTCCCGTGTTCAAAACAGACACAAAGGGCGAGATGATCGAACGATCCCACACGTGCTCGTGCTCAGCTGAGGCCCAGAGGAAACCATCCTGCCCAGTGGAGTCAGGAAGGAAGGACCCTTCCCGCACTTACATCCCCGGCACCAGGCCCAGAGGGGCGCCCTGCACCGAGATCCGCCCAGGAGAAATTGGATTTAGCCACGTTCCACCGTTGGGAACGGGCAGGGCGCCAATTTGCCCCGTGGCATTTCCGCCACGAAAACCTGTTCAAGAATGAACAGGGTGAGCTGGTGACCCCAAGCATCCTGGCAAAGGAGCGCCTCCATCACATGAAGGGCGACTTCACGGCCCCGGCCAATGACGAGAATCCTGGCGAACAGCTGGCACTTGGGGACGGCCATTTTGGTCATGGCCATGCTGCCCGCACCAACCGACACTGGCGAGCCAGCCGGAGTTTGAATTTGAGTCACCATGAGCGTGACCCCTCGTGACACAGCGTGGTATGCAAACCTGCCATGACCGCATCGATGTTGGGACCCGAGCCAGAGACGACCCAGGACTGAGACAGAGTCGCTCCGAGCCTAGCTTCGGTGTCTTGGTGTCGCTCGCCGCATCGACCATCGTCGGCCGGGAGGCAAGTGACATGATGTTGAGTCATGCACCCTCTGTGCAAACCCGCTAGCCATACCATGGCTCCAACTGACAGCAGGCTCAACCTGAAAGGTGCCTGCGGGATGGCAGACATTCTCCGCATCCCCCCATCGCGAGTTGAGCGGGGATGGCCTGCACCTTCCCCTGAAGGCCCAGCTGATCGAGGAGACCACCGACACAGCATTCGACCTCGAGGAGGAGCTCCAGGCCTGACACCGGTCTCGAACCAAGAACATTCTCATCGTGCTCGACCCCTCGGGACCGAATCGAATGCATTCCCCCCTGCTAGCCGAGCTCCTACATCAATTCGGATGGGGGAATACGACTCTCCTCAACGAAATCCAAGACGGAGTCCCAGTCCTAGGCAGGATGAGCCCGGGACTCGGAGGGGGGAAACGCCAAGACATGAGATACGCACAGCCGATGCGAATCTCGTCACATGTGATGTCGAGATACATCAAACCAAACCAGACAGGCGTTGGCAGTCTCAGCGTGACGAAATCTCGAGAGACATCGAGAAGAACCGTTTGACAGGTCGCTTGACAGCACAGCCCACGTGGGGCATACGCACCATCCCATCGGTGCACCACCCGAACACCCCCCTTCTTGTTTGAGGGACCAAAGCAGCGCGTCTCGACAAGCGTTGCCTTCTCGGTCGAGCAGACCGGAGCCGACGGACTCACCAAGGTCCAGAGGTGCGAAGACAGGACATGGAGTAGGCACAACGAACGGTGGAGGGCGAGGACTGCCCCCCCACCCACAGGGTCAACACATTCATCGCAGTAGCGCATGACTTCTATTATACCAAGGACTCCATACACACTCGCTGGGAGCCCCGCGTACCGACAACTGCCGGTCGCTGAGCCTGACCACCCCTCATGTTCTCCTTGGGATACCGGGGGGCTGGACACTTTGGAAACACAGGTGTTTTCTGTTCGGGAGCACAGAATCCGTGTGGTCGTGCACACGCACAGCGGACATGATTTGCTGGCTCTGCAGAGCCGTCACCCTTTCCCCAGGGTGCACTACGCGCACGATCAGCTTCGATCGAGCCGGAACATTTCACAACCCAATCGGGATTTCAATAGGCGCACCATTGCATGAAGAAAATCGGTTTCAAACTCAAACCGAGCATGGATCAACGACCCGCATCACCATTACTCATCCAGGGTGTCATCATGACCTTTGAGGCCTCATCCTTCACCGTGAGCACGGACACAGGTCGCACGCAGCGCTTCACAGCACAAGTGCACGAACACCCGAAGAAGGGCACGATGTCCCCAGATGAGGCCACCAGCTTGGCGAAGAAGAGCCAATTCATCTCAGAGGCCATGAGGTCAGAGACCATACATTGCTGCACACAGCCACTGCATGCGCCAGACAGCACACCCCTCAGGAACGCACAGATACCATTAGGCAGCGGGATCACTGATGCCTGGCAAACTTTGCTGCACATTTTACCTAGTCGTGGAATGAGAGTGTTCAACTTAAGAGAGACACCTTGCACCATTGTGTACGCTGAAGCACGCTTCCAGGCTGGCGATCAGAAGCTCTCCGTCCGAACAGAGCTGGACCAACCGGACTGGCATGAGGAGATCCCCCACCTCCTGAAGAACGGGTGGGGCTTCGTCACCAGGCGCCCAACAACGAGTGCCACTATGCACATGGAGAGACCCCGAACCAGGTGTGGGGGGGCGGTTCACCACGAAGAGGGCCTTCATTTACGCCCCGGAAATCATCACCCAGATGATTCGCATGGCGGCGAGAATGCAACTTATGGACCAGACAAGCATCTGCTTCAGTGACAATGACCCGAGCAAACTTGCCCTTCAGCAAGGCTTTGGCAAAGACAGCAGGGCGCAACGCCTGCTGGCGCTCTTAGGGAGCTGCGTCGATGCACGCAACCACGCTCCGTGGTGGGAGAGAGCCACCAAACAGGCGAACATCTCAGACGCAGTGAGTCGAGCAGACATCTCACTGGCACGTGAGCTGGGCTGGACGGAACTCACCTTCGACGGGCAGGCTTCCCACAGCGACCTGGACCAGGATACCAAGTCGATAGACAAGACCACGGGCATTGGCTCAACACGGAAGCAGTTTTGGGCCGGTCACCACGGGGGCAGGCGGCCTACATGGCAGACAGAACACCTGCTGAGTCGCCGTGGCACCGAGACCCAAAAG